CACCGGCCACCTTTCATGAGTTCCAGAGCTTGCTGGCACAAGATGCGGCGCTCGATGCAGCGCAGACACCGCTCTTTTTGAAAGAGCTATTCAAAGAGTTCTACGCCCACACATGGTTTCAGGTCAAAAGTGACCACACTGTTGTCGAGTCAAGGAGGGGTAGCCGTCCCGGAGATAGCTTCGCAGACCTTTGCTTCTCCTTCACCTTGACACAGCTGCTGAAGCCTATCCTTGAGACTGCCAGAGAGAAATATCCCCAGATCGAGATTAGCTGGGACGGGAATGCATGTCCCTATCGCACTACACAGGACCATTGTCCGCTTGGGCCGCTTGTACCGATTTGGGCAGATGACATTGCCTTTGCCTTCACAGCTGCCACGCCAGATGAGCTGCTGCCTCTTATCCAAGATGTCAGTGGAGAGCTTTTTGACGGGCTTCTTCGTGCAGGCCTCAAGCCCAACTTTTGTCCTGGCAAGACTGAGTTGCTTTTGGACCTCCGCGGACCTAATAGTTTGAAGCTAAGGCGTGAAATGTGCCACAAGGATCACACATTGCTGGTACCGTCGAGATTCGAGGACTACCAGCTACGGCTCGTTGGTTCCTATAAACACTTAGGAACCTGGATTCAGATAGGAGCAGGCATTGCCCTTGATGCACGGACTAAGTTCGCTGCTGCACACGAACTGTTGACCAAGTATAAAGGGCCAGTTTTCTCCAACCGAGCGCTTCCACTCCAAAAGAAAAGACAACTTTTCGAAACAATGATACTGAGTACCATCACTTTTAATGCTGCAGCCTGGATGCCTAGGAATCGCAGACAGACTCAACAGCTGCATGTCTCCTTCATGAAGTTGTACAAAAGAGTCTGCCTTCTCCATTTCGGGTCTATAGCATTGACATGGAGTGATGATAAGGTTTTGAACGCCTTCAGATTGCCTGCGCCTGAAATCACCTTGAGGCAAGCACGGTTACGATATGTTCTGCAACTGTGCAAAGGAGGGCAACCTCACATCTGGGGCCTCCTGCAGGCTGATGATGACTGGTATACCAGGTTCTGTACAGACATTGCCTGGTTGGTTTCCCATTGTCCTGAAGTTGATCTTGACCCTTCTACACTATGTTGGGAATCTTTTGCTGCACATGTCCAGTCATCACCCGCACGATGGAAGAGACTCATCAAAGCTGCAGTTAACAGGCATATTTCCACCCGTGAGATTGACCTCCAGTGGCTAACATGGCAGTCAGAAATTATGCATGAAGTCATTGGGGCAGGTTTTGCTCTGCCCAATGTTGTTAACTCATGTCGACAGTTCTACTGCCTTGCATGCAGACGTAGTTTCCAACGACAGTCTGACCTTTCAGTCCATTCGTTCAAAAAGCACCAGAGGAAAAAACCTGCACGACGATATGTAAGTGGAACCACGTGTGAGGCCTGCTTGCGAACATATCCTTTGCATAGTGACCTCATCAATCATGTCAGTAGAGCAGTCAAATGTTTCCACTTCTACCAAGAACGAGGACTGGAAGTTCCATGCGAGCCAGGAGTAAACAGCAAGAAGGAAAACCAGCAACGCAAGGGTTTCCGGGAACCGTATATGCAAGCTGAAGGACCGACTTGCCCTGAGCCTGATTGTGCTCCAGTATACATTGACCAAGCATTTCGACAACTCCAACAAAGCTGGGATAGTGCCTCATGTGAGCGAGCCAGTCCATCCTATTGGTTGGAACAGCTCCGACTCGCGACGCTTGAGACCACGCTGCACCACGCAGAGATTCTCTCGTGCTTTACGGAATGGAGTGAAAAATGGTGCTTGTCACACCAAGATGTACTGATTGCTGAACTCACTGTCTTTGCTCAATTTACGAGCAAGGCATCCATCGAATGGTTCTTATCTGGCGACTTTCAGACGGAGACTGTTGCTGAGAATGCGTGTCAGTTTTTCCAACGAGCCGCCTGGTCTTTTTATGATCTGTATGGGAAGGTCTCCAGAGAAGTGGACTATACTCCCAAAGTTGTGGCTCACCTATTTTCTGGTGAAAGACGCCATGAAGATCTCCAAGACCATTTGGAAAGAGCCGGGTTCCAGGCAATCTCCGTGGACATTATTTTCGACGTCTGCTATGGCAACCTCCTGAAGCCAGAGACGCTGCAACTCTTTGCTCGTGCACTGAGATGCGGAGCGCTGATTGGTTTTGTTGCAGGACCTCCATGTGAAACGTGGAGTAAGGCCAGATTTGCAGAGATCGATGGAGGACCCCGCCCGGTTAGGTCGGTTGCGAGACCCCAAGGGCTTCAGAACCTTACCAAACGGGAAACTCAACAGGTGTCCATTGGTAATCAGCTTTTGGCTGTGGCGTTGAAGTTGTTCTGGATCGCTATCGTGAGCGGGTCGATTGCTGTCATCGAACACCCAGCCATGCCGGATGGCGAGCTGCCATCAATATGGCGATTGCCTGTAATTGAGTTCTTCTTGAAATTTACCACAGTTTTCAAACTAAGAGTCGAGCAAGGGCGATATGGAGGATTGTCTCCTAAGCCAACCGATTTGTTGTTGGCGAACCCATGCCCAGACTTCAAACGGCTTTTCATTGAAGGGCGCACGACACCCCTTCCTATGACCAGCCGTATTGGGCGAGGATCGGATGGGACTTGGCAAACTAGCATTCTTAAGCAGTACCCTAGTGGTTTCTGTTCAGTGCTTGCAGCCCTTTTCCGCCACGCCACCCCCGCCTGTGACACGGGAGAGCCAATACCAGATTGGTTTCGTGAAGCTACGACTAAACTGGTAGCACACTTTAATGTCGATGCCCCTATGGGCCCCGACTTTTGTGCTGCAGCTCTAAATGTCACAACAGAAATTTAATTTGGTGCAATAGCCACAGGCTAGACCTTTTGGCGCTAGAGAAAGAAAGAAAGAAAGGCAAGCTGTCAAGGCAAAGGCACAAAGAAACAGGAGTTTGACCCAAAAGGGCGAGGGATCGCTCGAGTGCACACCCAACTCAAAGGATGTGGCCCGGATTTTAACCCTTATCGTTTGTAACCAAACAGGGTCAAGATCCGGAAAGCATGCACTGAATCATGTGAAAACAAAAACTTCCGAGGCTTATCCCGCCTGGCCACCAGACACGAAGCGATCTTGGTCTGCCACGCAAACTGCGTCCACAGCATAGGTGTGCCTGGCACCGTGCGCCTACAAAAGGATCTACTTGATCCAACCCTTTCATTGTGAGGATGCCCAAGCCTGGTGAACATCAGGTGTGTCCCTTTGTCCACCTAGCTGTGTGAAAGTCAAGACAAGGAGAAAGGCTGAGAAAGGAAGCCACAAAAGAAAATCGCTACTAGGAGCAAGGACGCTACTAGGACGTGACTCTGTAGGTTGACCGCTGATAGAAAGGCCATAGGAACGGTGTGGTTCGTTTCAATCTTTGCTTCTAGTAAGAATGCTCCATACGTAGCGATGCCAGGAGCCCCTAGTAGCGTCCGATCGCTCCTAGTAGCGATGCCCTTTGCTCCTAGAAGGTTCCGGATGCTTCAAGTCTTCAAGCATGTTCAAGGCACCTTCCAAAAGCGGACCGTCTTGTCCTCACCGCCACTCAACGGCCGGCCCCTTGGTGTCACGGCATCTCCGTGGAAGCATTCCGAGCTTCACCACCTTTTCGTCCTCCTTTTCTATCCCTTGGGGTGTCACGGGCTCAGGCTCAAACTTGTTCAAAAGGTCCAAGGACGACACAGCACCAACATGTCCGAGAAGTGTCTCCATGCATCTGGCAGGTGTGTGTGTGTGGAGAATTAATGACAATACAGCTTGCCAACTGGGCAACGGTGGGGTCAGCAGTGGTCTTTGTCGTGCGCACAAACATACACCAACACACATTTGCATCCTGGTAGAGTTCGGTATTAACACGGCCAGCTGCTGTTCCGATGTGCAAGCATTCCATGTGAGCTGCAGACCTGTTACACTCGTAGTGCGCTTGGTGTGTCTAGGATGCCCAGTTTCAGTCTTTGGGCCCTCTGCACCACACTCTTGCATTTTGATTGTATCCGGTATCCAATTGATTGAGGCATCCAAACATGGAAGCATCGCAAACATCAGCACAAACGTAAAATTGACAAAATCATTGGACCGGGAGAACACCCGGACACTCGAAAATCAATAAAAACGGACAGAAGCCCTCAAAAAGACTCTAAGAGCTACAAGCGCCCATGTCTCAAACAAAGGATTCCCGGGAGCAAATTGTTCAGTCCGTGGCACTTTACGGGGTTGGTGGGCATTGGATTCAGCTGACTCAAACGGAAAACGAAAGACGTGAACTTCCGAGCGAAAAGACCGATTTAGTAAGGCCAGGAGCCCCTAGTAGCGTCCTTGCTCCTGATGCTAAAGCTGAGCACGTTCTCCTTCGATCATTCCTTCGCCTTCCTGGCTCCCCTGGCCTTCCTTCCGTCCTTCCTTCATTGAATTTCACGTGTGTCACTTTATTTGTTCTTCTCATCAGTGTGTTTTGATGCAGAAAATGTTCCCTGAGGCTCGTTTGAGTTGTACTTGGGTGAAGCTGCAATGTCGAGGAGTGAAGCGTTGTAGTATATGAAAAGTGAGTGTGTTTGTGCAAACAAAGGGCATCCAGCCTCCTGGAGGCCACGTCCCAAATCTTTAGGGACTTGTCAGCTGAGCCGGAGTAGAACTGGGCAAGGGACATGTTCTCTACTGAGGTTGCACTACAAGCACCCCGTTGCCCGTCTTCTACCTCCGAAGTCCCAGAGTACTGGGTTCTCGAACAAACTCAAAACGATCTGCCAGCCTGTTCTTCTCCAAGATCAGGCACCAAGGCAGTGGTTTCCTTTGTGTGGCCATGCCTAGGGAACAATTTGCTCCTATCCACCCCAGCCAAGAAGAAGTCTTTTGATATTTTTCAATCCAAGTCTGAGAGCAAGACAGAGTAGCCACACAGCCTCAACCAAGTTCATTCAGTATACCCGCACAATGTGTTGTGTGCGGTTCCAGCGCCATAGAACTGACAAACGTTGAATATCGTTCGATTATCCCCAACCAAACGCTAACCCTTTCAAAGCTCTGTGGCGGACTCTTTTGGATGTTCCACGTTCACCTGGGCTTGCTGTCAAAAGCCACGGGAAAACCCCGCATAAGGCTATGTACAAAGTGTCAGAGCTCTTCGAAGAAGGCATCGATGTCGTCTGGAGCGAAGACCTTGGCAGCAATGAAGGTGAATGGCAACTCCATGAAGATCCGAAGGAACGCCTGATAAGCCTAGGAACAATGTTCGCTACTAGGGGCTCCTGGCATCGCTACTAGGAGCAAAAACGCTACTAGGGGCTCCTGGCCTTACTACTAGGAACAAGAAGCTACTAATACATTGAGAGAAGCTGAAGTAACTAGCAACGCCGGTTCCAAGAGTGGCTCAAGTATGTCACAAGAGTCGCTACGACTGTTCTTGCCAAGAGACCGCTGATCGATTTCGCGCTTCAGACACCACCTGGAGATTGGAAACTGGAAATGGGAAGCTAGTTTTGACTGTAAAGAGCAGTACATTGGACCTACAAAGCATATGTTATTCAATGAACTATACCCAAACGTAGCCCGTGCACAAGAAGCAGAAGTGACCACGGGAAAAGTATATATACTATTATTCGGCTGCATCAGTTACACTTGACTTGATGTGTGACGAATCGGACACAGCTCGCTTCTTTTTCACATGAGCTTCAAATATCTGGTTCAAAAGTGCTTTGGTTAACGTGACCCTGTCACAGCAGCCCACGCTGCGCGCACCCCTGGTGCATACCTCTGCCAGGTATTCATTCCCTACCTGTACCTGGTAGACTCCTTAAAATAGTCAAGAGGATACTGAATGTCAGTCCTATGACTATGGTGGAGTAGGATGAAGATAAACACAACGCAGTAACCCAAGAGTCGACACACGTTTACTGCAGTCACAGTGACCGACAATTGCTCCGCAATGTCACTGGAAAAATGGTATCTGGACTCATGACCAGAGTATTTTGCCTGGCCGACTGCTGCAAAGGGGTGTGGCTTTTCGGCCGACAGCAGCCACTGAAGTAATGAAATCGGTGACGAAAAGATAAACTGGACACCATGGTAACCCGCAGACAGCACCAGTCCAGTAGCTCATTGCCAGAGCATTTGGCCAGGCCGACAGCTGCAATTCATCTGGCTTGTGGCAGACTGCGCCAGGATGACGAGAAATCACATCAAACAGAAACAGAGGAACCGCATCCGTGGTACTCAGCTGACAGCGACCACGCGGTGCCACAGGACGTCAAACGTGGAACTGAAAAATAGGCCAACGATTGATCATCATCGTCAGCTGGAGCTCGTAACGTCAAAATGAATCAAACTGTCAATTCCTGCAAACCGAAGCTACACCGAGGCCCCTCCGTGGATGACATCACACAGGCCAGCAAATCACTTGGATGCACCGCAACCATGAGAACTCAGGCCGACAGCTGCCACGAGCACCTGTAACCACTCGTACTGAGCACAGGGTGTGGTGGGTGGGACAAAAAGAATCTTGCGAATCAGCGACTCTGATTCACACGGAGCGACACTCCTTGGCTTGAGCCTCAAGCTGAAAGGAGTGAGTGAACTGAATGACATCAAATAATTCCTCATCACCGACCCTGCCTACCTTGAATGAATGAATATATTCGGCTGCATCAGTTACACTTGACTTGATGTGTGACGAATCGGACACAGCTCGCTTCTTTTTCACATGAGCTTCAAATATCTGGTTCAAAAGTGCTTTGGTTAACGTGACCCTGTCACAGCAGCCCACGCTGCGCGCACCCCTGGTGCATACCTCTGCCAGGTATTCATTCCCAATGCATTCTACATTCCCAAAACACTCAGAAGAACTGGAAGACACGATTTATAATGACGTATGGTAGGCGGAGTAGGAGGTGAGGTACTCGGAATCCATGAGCCTGATACCATTTATCGTGAATCCCTTGCCTGCTAATACCATCAGACCAATTGTCTGCGGACTGGACCCATTCGAAATAGCTGGGTCACCATGCCCGGCTCAAGCGGGGCGGCCTGGGACTGCCCCTGTCCCAGCCGAGTGCTCCGGACGGGAGCCGGCTTGGAAGCTTCACTCAAATCCAGTGGTACACGAAGGTTTCGAATCATCCAGCCCAGGGATGTAAACACACGTGTAGGCCCATGGTGCTCCCTGATGAAGGTGGCCAATGCATGGGGGTCAGGAAACTTCAACCCCTCATGGTCCATATAGCGCACCAAGTCCTTCCAGGTATGGACCACGCGCTGGATGGTAGCTGCCTCGGTGCGGGCACATAGCTTCTCCAAGCGTGAGGCCCAATTGGCCATGTATTCGTCTCGTCGATCGGGTGGAGGCATCAACGTTACCATAATGCCCAGCAGATCACGAATAAACAGAGCGGCGACTCCGCCCTTAGGGCCAGGAAAGGAAGACGGCTTTGGACGGGCCACCGAAGACGAAGGCAGTGAAGGAGCCGGAGCACTGGATGGTTGTGGCGGGCGAGACTGGCGAACTGTCTCTCTCGCAAAAAGGTGCCGAACCAGGGCTGCCATCCCCGGTTCGCTCTCACGGCGAGCGAGATCCCACCCATCAGCCACTGCGCGACCGGCTTCACGAAGTGCTTCCTCGTAGGAGGTAAACCAAAAAGCCAAGTCGCTTGCACTCTGAATCCCCATCCTGGCACACCAGGTATTCAGTTTCTCCTGCTCAACCGCGCGTCGAGCATTTGCGTCAGCCATGGCTCGCACACAAAAAGAATCTTGCGAATCAGCGACTCTGATTCACACGGAGCGACACTCCTTTTTGGCTTGAGCCTCAAGCTGAAAGGAGTGAGTGAACTGAATGACATCAAATAATTCCTCATCACCGACCCTGCCTACCTTGAATGAATGAATAGATTCTGATATACTAGATATACTTGATATGCTACTATTCTGTTCTTCCAAGATCAAGGTCACTCACCCTTATTTTTGGCAGCACAAGTGGGCCCTCAGTCTACAGACTGTACACTGTACAGGACGCACATTGAGTGCTGAGGCTAGGGTGCTTAGTTAAGCCCAACACCTAAGCCCAAGGCTCCAGCCCTAAAAGTTGCCGACTAAAGTGGTCTAGACTTTCCAGCTGACTGTGGTCCAAGTCTCCCGCTCGAAGGCATTTAGGCAGGACTCTGGTGCAACTGAAACCGTCACGATCATCGTAGTTGATGTTCCACTCTGCTTCTTTAGCGGGAAACATGCGAATGTACTGTGTCAAACGCATCTTGTCGCTCTTGTTGTGAGTAGAGCCATGCAACTGTGCAACAGACCAGATCACCATCTCACCTTGCTGCAGGGGTACAGGTTGCATGTACCGAAGAATTGGATCGTCTTCAGCTGCTCTGAAGGATTTCATGGACTTCGAGACTTTCTCCAGTTTCCGTTCAAGACTCCATTGTTTCAGGAAGTGGGCACAGCCTGGAAGAGTGAGATGACAGCCGGTCTCCAGGTCGTGATCACGCAATGCCACCACACCTTGGTAGCCTGGATTGCCCATCTCAAGGTCTCTAAGGCATTGCCAGGGATTCACATCCCAATGCGGTTTCAGACCTACTCGCCATCTTGGCCTGTCGTTGGCTCCACGTGCCACTCCCCACTTGTCGACAGAAACATGCAAACGCGACTCTTCGAATATGTTTTGAAACGCTTTGTAGATTTCCCTGGAACACCGGTTGGCAAAGGCTTGCGGGTGTAGGGCAATTGAGTCGATCAGAAATTTTGAGGAAGATGGCCAGTTCTTGTCAGCCCATGTAGAGGGATCATCTACCTCAATCAAGGGGCCTTCAATGCCCTTCTTGTTGCGCAGAGAATTGATTTCCTCAAACATTGCGATGACACTCTTCTCACATTCTTCTCTTGTGAGAACTTTCACGATGCAGAATCCATATTTGTGTAAAGCTTCTCGGATACCGAGCGAATCTGATGGTTCGAAGCTGACCAAAAAGCCATTGTCCAAAGCGGGGTAGCGAGGGAACAAGCGTTGCCAGTCCTCCTCGGAACGCAGCTTCCTCGGTGGGTCTTTCACCCTGAGCAAGTCCAAGTGAGCATAGCGGACAAAGGCCTGAAGTTCTTGACTTCGATCGCCCAGGGGAAATGACTCCTTGATTTTCACATGACATAGATGCAGCACCACGTCAGGCATCATCTCACCTGGATGTTCTTCCATCCATTCGCGTAAAATTCCTTGTGCCATTTGCTGGGCTTCCTTCCACATGTCTTTTCGCTGCGCCTTGGCCGACGGGCATAGCTTGCACGGCTCATCCTCACATGAAGCACTGCAACCACTCAGCCTTGCAAGGACCAGGTGCCGCAGACGCCGCAAGGCTGCAAAGCAAGTGGTCCCGAGACTTTCCATTGCTCTGGAAGACTGGCACCAAAGTCAGTTGAACCCTTGTAAATCTTCAGTGCGCGTGAGTGAGAGAAGTTTTCGACAACACAGAGAGTCCAAAAGAGCAGAACCTACACAGATCGACAATGAGTGGTTCCTGTCGGGTCAACCAGCACCAGCCGCGCCTGTTGTTCTTCAGCGTCATCTGCCGAAAGGTCAAAGAACTCCGCAGTTTTTTCCTGTTTCTCTATGCTTACGTGGAGAGACTCACAGCATCGAGCTTGTCAAACTGTGTGCAAGTAAGTGACTCCAGCTTGCTTTGACCTTGGAGGAAGGAAGCCAAGAAAGTTTCTAGTTCAAAGTCAATCAAATTCATTTCAAGTGTTGGGAAGTCTTTGGCTTCCAAGAGACTGCTCAGCTGCTAAAATCATTGCGGCTGAAGCTGAACTGTCACCCTCATCCTGCCCAAAATGCAAAAGGCAAGAACGATGTTGAGACTCTCCGGCAAAAACCATTCGCGGCAAGTGTTGCTCCTGGCCAGTGTTGAGAAGCTCCACAAAAACATCTACGGTGCAACCTTGCAGCAACGCCAGTGCAACCGTTATATAAATATACATCACACTAATGCCCCTGACGACGAACAAACGAAAGGGAAAGAAGCCAAAACGTTGCAGTACAACTGCCATATCAGTTCAATTCTTGATCTGACTGTGCTTCAAAACACCCTGAAACTCATGAGTACATTTCAGACTTCAGACTCACAAAGGGATGCTCTCTAGAAGGTCTAGCTGAGCCATCAGCCATATTCCATCCAAGACTATGCAAACCGGAGACCCAAAAGACTCTGTCAAACCAGAATGAGCAACCTACGACGCTACAAGTGGCAGGAATCTGAGGTGCAACTGGAAAAGACTAAGGTGCAAAAGAATTTATATGAACTATATAATTGATTGATTGATCAATAGGGTTTGCTCTAGATTGACATTACTCTTCTGGACTTCCAACAATCAAAAAAATGTTTGTATTTAGATGTTCAGAATCCATCCCGAATACAGAATGGAGAATCTACTTGCAGTGCCTATTTGCACTTCAATGTCAACATCGAGTTCCTCAGCGATTTCTCCAAGTGGCTCTGTTCACAAGCCGAATCGATTTCCGAGGAAGGAAAGCGCGTGAAGCCACCAGCAAGTGCAATGAGCGCGGTGTGGAAGCAAACCTCTTTTTTGGGTCAAAGGCGGCTACAAGTGGAGCAAACTGTACAAACAAGAAATGGATTGAGTATTGGTTACTAGTGACATACAACTGGTTGTACAAAATGATTCACTATATGGGAATGGCACACACACACAAAAAAAAAGGGGAAGCAGGCATGCACAATGCACAAGTTGCATACTTCAGACATTAGCGAGGTTCCGTGTCCATCTTTAACCTCTTTCAACTCAAAACTTTTGGAAAAACAACAAAAATGCCTGCAGTTCCAGCTCCCAATCGCCCACCGCACCATCGTCTTCCTCCCAAGCGGAGCCAACAATGCCCCGAATCAGGACATGTCGAAAACGTGTGTAGTCACAACCAGGATCTCAGGATTTTGACCCTCATTCTTGTGCAGAGATTTGTCATCGCCAGTTGCACTCAGGAAGCTGTAAAAAAGACCAATCAGAAAAAATCTATTGAAGAAAAAAGTTCCCTGAAAATTGAGCGGTACTGTAAAGTTCGGTGCGATGCTTTCCTGGTTGCTTTCGTCCCCTTGCTGCCCTCAATAAACTGGTACTTGGCAAAACTCCCGTCATCAGCAACACGTGTGGCCCATGCGCCTGTGCTCTGCGAGAGACCAAACGGAGGGACAAGTCGCCCTCTGCAGGACTGGTGATTCGAAAGGCTGAGGTGTGGCAAACATCGTCATCCTCACCTCGACGGCAGGGACCGCAGAACAAACATCACAAATCCTTGACGATGCCTTCAACCTCGTAGCGATGGGCTCCAAACCGCAGAACACCTATGCCATTATGCTCTCTCTCTCTCTCTCTCTCTCCGTCCTTTACTCAGTGCCCCGCTCACATTGGTCCTGAAGATGAGCTGCTCTTGCTTCCACACTTCCAAGGCACGATCGCGCAAATGCGACCCCGCGTGGACCAACACCTAGGTCACATGAAATCGTAAACCTGTTCAGTACACGATGGTTTCGCCAAGCGCCCCATGTGGGAAAGTGCTGGTGCGTCATGTCAAGCCAAGCATCCACCCGAGCCAAACGGGCAGGATGTGACCACAAATCTAGCTTTCCACGCTGCAGCAGCTCGAAATAACCTCGCTATGCCCAACTGGGTGGTAGTTTGAAGCATTTTTTTAAGTGGTTCTTGCTCAAAACGGTCCCTACCTGCATGGTGATTAAGTCTGCCTAGACTACACTACTCCCTCCACTCTTTCCTTGTGCACAGAAATCCTCCAAGTTGCTAAGATATCTCAATTGTGACGGCCACAAACTTCTAGAAATTCCCATCCGCCTGCAGTCTCAGTCATCAATAACGAATGCAGCACTGAAGGGGAAGCAAGCTAGCTTAATGTCCATTAAACCACAGCTGAGTTGTAATTAGACATCCGAGCCAAATTGAACTTCTGTTGAAGATGTTTAAGGCTAATGCGTATTTCGACTTCTTCCAGTAATTGTGGTGACCTTGCTAGTCTACGTTCACACCAGTGCTCCTTGGAGCTTTCCCGCCTGGTAACCTCCACCATTGCTTCTTTCGGATGGTCTGCCTTCCCAACCCAGCTCAAGTAGCATGCAAAGAAGAGGACCACCGGAAATGAACCTGGCACAACCATCGGCAAGTCTTCCTTCCAGGATAACGTAAACTCTCCAAAGCTACAAACAGTGACATGCCTGGCCCATAATTCGCTGCTGTGCCAGATCCATCCTTGGCAAAAATGCTTGACAAGCCAGCCAACTCCATGTTGGGAGGAACCTTGCAAAGTACTTTGAATAGGAACCTTTGCAAAGTACAGTACTGAGAAACATCTGCTCCATGCACCACGACCACATTGCGCGCCGCACGCGACAGCCACTGCTGCACCGAAACGACGAGCCGCAGCCTCGAGTTGAGGAATCGAAAGCAAAGTCGGCCCAAACGCTGAAAGCCTTGCGTTTTAACTGAACACAAGACACAAGAAAGCTGAGTCTGAGATTGTCACAAGACCTCTAATGGCAGCACACAGCCAGACATCATGATGTCCATGCACGGACCTGAAGCCACATGAAGCCACGAGGAATCCAAATTGTAGGATTCAATTGATTCAATCCAATTTCTCCGGGAGCATTCGCCACAAATCTTTCAGCCTTGTAATTCGTAGGTGTCGTAGCTGGTTCCAGACAGGTTGATCACCAGGTAGCTGCCCGAATGGTCGCGGTTCAAACGTGCCGCCAGCCTTGGCATCACTGTCGTGGAAGATTCGACTTTTAGGTATTGATCTTTGCAATTCTGAAGAGAGCCAGTGGTCTTAGCAAATTGGCCTGCATACGTTGCTCTTAAAGAGCACAGCAACAATCTCATGGCATCATTTCTTAGTGTTTCACACATGTCTGAGCCGAGCCTGTCTGAGCACAAAAACGTGGCAACAGTTGTCAAAAGTTATATATATATATTGGTTTGTTGCTCAGTTTGAAACATGTAAATCTGTTATTGAAACGTTGAAGGCAAATCTTGACACCAAAATGCTCGGAGCCCCACCAGTGTTGTCGAGGTCGGCTTGGGAAATCTGTCGCTATGAGGTTGGGCCGGACCAAAGACAGTCTGCAGGAGTAGTCTTCAAATGTAAATTGCCACTCCTTGCACGTGCAAGATTTGTTCTGGAATTGTGTTGGATCCACAGGTAGCAGCTGCTCAACAAACCATAGGAAAGGTAAACAATGGTAAACATCTCTTGTGCACAAGCAATATTATCGAAAAGGTCAGGCCTTTTGGGACAGCAATGAAGTATAGAGACTTTAGAGGTTCTAACGACTCTGCCAAGAGCTCCTTCTGAATGGCCTCAGCTGCTTCTTTCGCAGCCACCTTGACAGCGGAGACGGCATCTCGAATGCTGCTCGGCATTCGGCAACCTGAAATCCTTCGTCAAACGCTGTGAGCAAGCTTGTCTATACTTGTCCAGTCCTCCGTTTGGAGCTGCCCAAAACAGTCTGCATTTAATTGTGTCTCTGAAATGGAGGTGTTTATCAACGTGTGGCTTGCGGAGGTGGGTCCCTAGTAAACGTTTCAAGCAAATTTTGTGCCGCATTCCCTGACATGCTGTGAACATTTGCACTGGGCTTGAGCCGGAAGCCACAGTGACACCATGTGACACCAAACACAAAGGACCAAGAAGGACGAAGGGGCACCTCCACACCTCGCTACTAGCAACAAGGGCATCGCAACTAGTAGCAAGAAGCTACTACTACCTCCTGGCATTACTAGTAGGAACAAGAAGCTAGTGGGTTGGAGGCCATCGCTATTAGGTTGGAGACCATTACTAATAACAAGAAGAAGGGGCACCTCCACACCGTCTTTAACCCTTCCTTCTTGAATGTTCCGAGGCATGGTCTGACTGCACTGAGCGCTGCTTTCATTGCTAGGGACCAAACTGGTATTCGCAGAGCGTGGATCCCAGAGGCGGACCTTGCAAATTGCTGCCTTGTTCTACTTCTTGGATTAAAGGTCTAGGGATCCTACCACACGATCCACACCAGCAGAGACCAGCAAGCCACGCTGCTCCAGCAAACAAACACTCAGGACCTGCAAATTGGCTATGGAGTTGGCACCTTTTGGTTTCTGACTCAACTTGCTTGACAAAGCGTGCAATGCCACCAGCTCAAGGGGCCCAAGGGCCTTTTCAAAGTGTCCTCCACATTCAAAGCGGTTACGGCCGCCGGGAAAAATGTCCTGGCAGAAATGGCTTGAGTGCCTGACCTGAGAATGACTATCTGCTGCATGCCAATTGAAAGCGGTAAAGCACAAAGGCCTTCTTCCCAGTCTCTATATCCCATCTGATGACTGCGCAGTCTTTGCCGCCAGTGTACATGACACCTGTGTGAGCAAAAATGACGACTTGTCGTCTTGCTCTCAAAACTGTCCATAGTTCGGAACCCCTTAGCTAGCCTAGCACCACCATTTGCCTTCACGCTTCCAGGTTTCACGCCACCCACTCTTGCCAACCCGTTACCCATTCCGTCGTGACACCTTTGTCCAAAGAAATTGGACCAGCTGAACCTCTGCACCTTTCAACCACTGCACTTTTCCAGTTCAAATTTGTTTACTGAGTGGGAGGGCGAAGGTAAGAGGGTTTGAAAAGTTGCATCGAATAGTGAGTCTGAATAAGACGTGTGACTCTGCCGGATAGGCAAAATGAAAGGGATCTGTACCTTCAACTTAGACGCAAGATTTCAGAGCTTGGGGTTAGTCAACTAGACTACAGAAGACATCCGGGAATTGGTGAATCATTGGTTGATTTACTGAGAGCAATTCCACACACAGACCTACACAAACTTCCAGTTCAGTACTCAATGGGCTGACTCTCAAAGGCACTGCCCAACACAAGCCACAAGCGGAATTTCCTGCCTTCATCGGACGTCAAACAAACACAAGTTGCTGCCATCTTATGCCTCGCAGGAACTCCTTTAGCAATTTTTAGCCATTTGTGACCTCCGTGTTCTCCAAAATGTCACGTGCCAAACCGGCCAGTTGGACCCTTTGAGGAACCGTGGCTCCCCCAGAGTCAACTCTGACACCTCCGCAGTTCACTCCAAGAACGTAATAGGAAAGACTGGAACAGTATTGGTTTGAAAGCAAGCGCGTTTTGGCCCCCTACTCAATCAAGTGGCGACTAGTTAGCTTCTAGCAGCTGGAGGCAGGATGGCTCACGCTTCTTCAAGGAAGCTCCCCCGCCTGAGGACAGGTGGAGCTTCCTTGAAGAAGCGCTCGCACTAATGCGAAAGACTGGTGTTCTCTGCGTTCGATGCATGCTGTTTCTGCAAGACTGGGGCAATCAGCAGAAGATCAGTCATGAGACTTCGGGGGATTCCTCTGCTCACCTGAAATTTGGTCTTCCGCAACTTGGTGAGCTGGTCCTGTCAGTTCTTGCAGCTGTTGTCTTGTACTGGATATATATATATATATTGTAAGGGCTCCGCCCGGGTGCCGCCGACCCCTTTTCATCTCGAGGGTTTGGCGGTTGAACCTTGACAACTTCCTGGGATTCAACAGCGAGACTTGGATGGGCTTCACACCAATGCTGGCATTCAAGCCACAGCGATGTAGAATGCAGGTGGCTAGGAGCTCTGGTAGACTTTGTTTTATAGTATATAAGGATTCTTCAAGGGTCGAGCGCCAAAGAGTTTGATCGTGCTTGGACACGGCATTTGGCGCGACATCTGGTGTGAACCGGAGAGGCCGCAACAGGCCTGCCTGCTGCCGAGGAGCGTTTGAAGGCGGTCCAAAATGCCTAACGTTGCCT